ATTGGTCAAAACTTATGGTAATTCAGACTGACACTATTGATATTATAATGCTGACTTGAATTATCACAATTAATTAAACTCGAATCTTTAAAATCTTGATTTTGATTTTTGATTTTAGTTAAACTAACTGATACTCTTAACATGTCACATAAAACAAAAAGACAACAGCAGGTAAGTAAGGTGTCTAAAAAAAGGCCGTTTCATATCTCAAGAACTAGCAAAAGAAGTTATTGGACAAGAAGTAATTATTAAAAATGATAAAGCTATGGTAAGCGAAGTTGTTAGAACCATTAGGATGAAAGGTAAAGCTGTTGAAATAGAAGGCGAAAATTATGGAATGATAGGTAAAGATATTTGAATGGAAAATGAAATCAGAATAGAAGATGAAGATTGGGCAGAAGAGGATTTGATGGAATTTGAGAAAGTGTGAAAAAGGCTTATTACTAAGGCTCTTTGTTGGTATAAGAATGCTAATAAAGAAATTAGAGCAGCATATATCAGAACTTCAAGAAGTACAGCTTGGAGACAGAAAAAAGAAAAAGAAAGTTTAAAAAATAATGCAAAGGGAATGAAAACACTCAAGACATTTTTTGGAAGTACTAAAACTTTGAATTATCGTGACCATCACAGTCAGCACAACCATTCCCAGAATCCTTCAATGCCTTCACCTCAACCTTCAGAAACTATACAAAGCTTTTCTTTATCTTCCGTCGATATTACGCAAAATCTACAAGTTCGTTTAGAAGAAATAAATCAAAAATGCTTAATATCAAAATCCGCAAAAATAAACAATAGTATTTTTACCTATGATTATTTACATTGCCTAAGTATACGCAGATTCATATAATTGTTATTAGATGGGTGAGGTAAAATGGATGCTAGCATTCAAATTGCAGAAATAATGTGGAATAAAGGCGATTACATGGCGAGGTGTATTCAGAAATGGGAAGCCCATTTTATTCAGACAGGAGAGCTTCTTGTATATCGTCAAGAGAAACATGCGAAATTAAAAAGTTTATTAAAAGATGAAGATTTTAAGGAAAAATGTCAAACCTGGTTATGACAACAAACACCAGAGTCCTGTTCTCCTGAAAACCTAAAAATATATATTGAAACAATACTATTTTCAAAGTTAACCGAACACATTAAGAAGGATATGATTTCTGAAAAAACTTGTCGAAACTATATGCATTTGTAGAGATACGTCTATGATAAAAGAAAGAAAGGAATCTATTACGATAGGCATGAACGGCCAAATGTTGTAAAATATAGGAAAGAATGGTTAAAGAGGATGTTCGTGTATAAGAAATCTATGAAAGATTATGATGGTGATATGTTAGATATTATATTAGAACCACAGCTTAAGCTAGGAGAGAAAAAATTAGTACAAGTGACATATGATGAATATCACTTTTATGCCAATGACGAGCAACGGAAAATCTGGATGAGAAAGAATGAGAATATTTTACGCTTAAAACATCTTGAATGCTCTATCATAGTTTCAGTTTTCATTTGTCCATATTATGAGTTAATGCAATTATCTGATGAACAACTGCAGGAAAATTCTCATATTAAACATAAAAAAGCTTATATTCTGCGATCTATATAAGCAAATAGTTATTAGAAATCAGAACATATGTTAGATCAGGTTTAAGCTTTCCTTATTATTTATTGATCTATATTAAAGGAAAAAGTTACTAATTTTTCTTTTCATTTATAAATAAAGCTTGTTTATCAAGTAATTCCGATCTTTGAGATACTGCATCCTGAATGTATCGGAGTTTTTTGCTTCGATCAATCAACAAATCACAATGCTATAACAGTTGACGCACTTATTGCAATGAGAATGAACATGAATCCTGGAGGAAAACAACCTAAGATGCGTGATGATTGGTATATTAATGGAAATAATAAGAAGATTATGTAGTCAATGACATTTCCAGATAATCATTCACTAAAAGGACAACTGAAAGGTATCAAGCAAGTATTTAAGGAATGTAATCTCTGGCCATCAAAGGATATTTGTTTAATATATGAGCAGTATTCTGAAAAGGATTATGATCTTAATCCAGAAAGATTAGACTGTTACGCACGATGAATCATATCATAACAATCTGATTTCTGTGAACAATGGTCAATATTGGAAGAAGTAATTATAGAAGCAGGGCATATATTCGAAAGATACTCAAAATTCTATTGCAAGTATAATTTTATAGAATGATATTGAGGTTATGCAAAGCGAGAGACTAGAAAAATATGCAATTATAGTTTTGCAGACTTACTAAAACAAGTTTCAGAAGTTCTTATTAATGTGCCTATAGCAACTATTTGCAAGTTTGCACACAAGTCATGGAAATACATGGATGCATACAACCAAGGGTTAGAAGGTAGAGCTGCAGAATAGGCTGTTAGTAAATACAAATTACATCGTCAAATACCCGAAAGTATTGAAAGAATAATGAAATAAATGGATTATTAATATGAAATTATAATAAAAATTAATTGTTCGATTATAATTAATATATATATAGCTGCTTTTATATTTTTATTACAGTATCATATTTTTAAATTCTTTCGTATATCATTCTATTATTCTATTGTTAAAGGAAAAATTTTGAAATAATGCATATGCTTTGTCATAAAATTATATATGCTCGTGTTTTAATGCCATTTACCTTTCCTAATTATTACACAATTTTTATGGATTCTTATTGGATAATTCTAAATCACGTGATTTGTGATCAGCGTCAAAAATTGAAATAAAGTCATATGATTGTCGAGTATAGATTTCTGGCACCATATAATAAATAAAGGATTAATATTAAAATAGTATATTTTATTATTTAATTTATAAGATTCTAATATTTGATTATTTACAAAATATAATAATACTTAAAAATAAGAATTATAATAATATAAAATATTAGAAATAATAATGAAAAAAAATAATATATTTAATGCTTTATAACTTAAAATATTTATATACAATTAATAATGATAATAACAAATTATATATAATTGATGATGATAATATTATACGATAAATAATTAATGATAATAACAATATATGATTTATAATTAATAATGATAATTCATATAATATGCTAATAATATATAATATATACTGAATGATGATAACAAAATAATCAAATGGAAGATTTGAGACTTGATTTTAAGGAAAATAGAATAAATAAGAAAATGATTTAAAGAAATAAAAAAAGAATACTTATGGAAAAAGGAGAAAATAACTAAAGAAAAGAAAAAAATAAAAAATATAATACTATATAATAAAATAAAAATAAGAATACATACAGAAGAAAAAAAATAATTAATGAAATAATAATAATATAATAAGAATTGAAGTGAAAAGAAAATAGTAGATGAAAAAGAAAAAATAATAAAAAAAATAATGAAGCAAAATAATGAAAAGCTAAAAAGAAAATTATGATTACAAATAGTATTAATGAAGAACATAAAGAATGATTCTTAGACAAATAAAAATTAATTTGTAAAACAAATCTTTTTAATGTCAAGTAGCAAAAATGCATAAAGTAGATATAACTCTTATTGAAATTATTAAACTTATAAAATGTCATACATTTTGTAAAATTCAGGTTTTGATGATTATAACATAAATATAATGATTATTGCATATAAGCAAAAATAATTAATTTTCTTTAAGTAAAATTTATTACAATTTTCAAGATTTAAGAGATTATAATTTACTAAATAAATATATTTAAAAATAAATAAATTTTTTTTATTAGTTTAAATACTTACAGTATTTAAAGATAATATATATTTTTAATAAATTATTTTTTTTTTTTGAAACACTACTAATATTTTGACAATTTATAAAAATGAAAATCTAATCTGATTTTACAATATAATATTTATCAAAATAATATTAAATTTAAGTAAAATTAATTATATTTTAGATTTAAATATTTATATTTATTTATAGAATAAAGCTTTAATAATTGATGCTAAAATGTAACATAATGATATAAATGTAAATTTAAGTGTGTTATTAGATAAATTATATGAAAATAAATTAGAAAAAAAATAATGTTAAAAGTTGATTATCTAATTGATATTAAATCTAGAATCTTTTTACGGAGATATAATTATCATTTATAACAAACTTTTCAAGAAATATAAATTAGATTATAAACGATATCATAATGGATAGAAGTTATTCATAATAAGGAATTAAAGATAAATTTGGATGAAGATTTTTATAATATCAAATTTGAAAGATGACTAGATAATCCTAAAAAGCCTTAAAAAATAGTAAGACAAATATTAAAATTTTTGTAAGTTTATTATTATTTTTCAAATTAGTTATATAGATTAAAATTTAAAAATTGGTTAAGTATAAAGAATTATATTTTGAACTTTTTAATGGTAATGCAACTACAATTATTTTTGGTTATTTTTTTTTTTTTATTATCCTTAATTTTTTTTTTTGAAAAGTACAAACGATAATATTACAACAATAAAAAAAGAAACAACAAGGAATAAAATTGATATCGCGAAAATTGAACTAACTACTCGCTAGAAAAAGTTTTTTGGGATATTTATTAATTAGCCCTCAAAAAAAACCAATGACAAGACAATATAAAAGTTTTTTATCTTTAGCTCCTAAAATCTTGAAATTTGATGACCAAAATTTAAAATCAAACTAAAAGTAGGCGATGGGATTTTTTGAAAACTTACAGTTAGCAAAAAAATAAGTGTGATTTAAGGTTTTATTTATTAGCTTAAAATATATTATTGTATAGTTAATTGTCATATAAACTCCGTTATAAAAATATTTTTGAGATGATGTTAACTATCAATAAAAAAGCGGAGAAGAATAACTTTGAACAAAAAAATCGAAGTTATTACATTTTTATATCTCTTTCCATATATTTGAAGAGAGCTTCTTACATTACATAGGATTTTATCATTTCTTTCTTAGATGATATGACTTGAGGTGAGGGGAAAGGGATTTAAATTCATTGACGATGCTCAAAAATGTTTAAGGAACCACCATAGAACGCATCTATTAGTGAATTATTCGTAGGCGGTTGCGACGGTAAAGAAGTGATACGCATCAATGTATCACGATTCTTTTGATATTCTTTTCTTCTTCTACTCTGCCGTCTTAATTTAATACTGATTTTGTTTATCATTATAATTCTTTTTAGATTTAGATTTTTTTTTTTTTTTTTTCTCGAAAGAACGATTTCATAACTTTTTTATAATTTTTTTTTTTTTATTTCTTATACCTCATATATATTTTAAACTAATCGATGTTCGATGAGAAAGATTTATTTATCATGTTTTAGTAACGATATTCATGCAGTGTAAATATTCTAGCATATAAATGAAATAGTATATAACAAATAGAATGTCTATAAATAGAAAATTTCCCGGTGAAAATCAATCCTTGAAAAAAAGTTATAATTGGTTTGGTTTCGCCAAGCCACTTACCCCCCAAAAAAGCTTAATTTTTGGTTTGGTAATACAGATTATGATGAGATTGTGTAACTTGTGTAATCTCTACCTCAAAATCTGATGGACCAGACATCGTTATATATGGTGATGTCGTTCGCGACTAAATAAATCTGATTATGAAGTAGTATAGCATGAGAAAATTCTTAATGAGAACAAACTTCCGATGTACAACTGATTTGTTTTGAAAAGCTCATGAAAGAGTTAATAAAGTCAATAATAATGCAATAATCAATGATGTATTTTTAATTCTTTCTCAAATAGAAATCTATTACTTTGAAAACTTGTTTGTGCTCAATATTTAAGTGCATATTAATTTATAACGTTCGAACGGTAGCCTATGAATAATCACCACAATCATATTGTATTTTTTCCACATTGAGTGTTAACCTTTTTTTCAAAAAAAAAAAATTAATGTTGTGTAGATTTTTTAAATTAAAAATTATAAAATGAATATATTGTAAATTGATCAATACAATATAACTAATGGATCTTTTTTCACATAACCGATGGCTGAAAATCAACAAATCAAAAAGTTCAACGTTTTACATTCATGTGGTTTAAAATTGGAAGTTCATTATCTCAAGATATTGTAAAATGACCATTAGATCTGAGTTCAGATTATTCATTATTAAACATACTATTAATTAAATCTTTTAACTAATCAATAGATTTGGTACATTACACAATATTATAAAATAAAGTTCATAAACCATTTTTTTTTTTTTGCTATACCATTTCAAAATAAAATAAATAATATAAAATAAGGTTTCCTTTTTTGAAAATGACTTTCGTAATAGCTATAAAAGGGTATATTACAAACTGACACTTTTTCCACATTTTATCAAGTATCGAAATGACCTATCGAAGAAACACAGCGGCAAGCCATTTTACCATTTCTGGAATGCCGTTAAAATTGTTAAAATACAAAGAGTAACAAAGATTTCAAAATGCTTTTCCTCTTTGTACACTTATGCTTGCATCAATTCATAAACAAAAGAGGGATTAGTGGGCAATAAAACATAAGGATGATAATTGGAATAAAACATTATTTAGTGATAAAACAACTTTCCAAATATTTTGCAATACAATAAGGCATTGGTATAAGAATGCAAGACCGATTCGTCTGATACCAAAAAACCGAAGTAAAATTTTCGCACAGGGTGTGTTTTTGTTTTAAGCGTATAATGGATGGAAAATTCTATACATAAATATTAGAAAGCAACTCCCGGAAATGCGCAGTATGTTACGAGGTAGCAACAGGACGATCATTGCTAAGAAATTCCTTGATAGAATTGTCCCAGAGGTTATGGATTGGCTTTCAGACCTAAAAACCTTTGGGTAATCGTTAAAAGGAACGTAGTCCAAAAATCTTAGGGAATTAGAGAGTTTTTGGTTTGAGGAATGGCCAAATAGTCTTTAACTAATCTTGTAAATTCAATTCCACAGCGTTGTAAAGAGGTTATTAAAAAAAACGGTGAACGAAAATCATATTAATAAATCTATTGCGTATCAACTTTAAAGTAACGTAAAATTACGATCTACATGTAGATCAATAAAAAAAAAAAATTTTTAAATAATTAATTTTTAAATTTCAAAAAATGAAGACATTAAACAAGAATTAAACAATGCTAAGAATAGATTAGATGAGAAGGAGTTCGAAAAAGGGGAGGATAATGGGAAGTGGCTGAAAGAGTTGCGAAGAAAGACGAGAAGAAATTACCTTGGTGAAAAAGAGGACAAACAGCTGGTTAGGCTGGAGAAAAAGAAGAGATGTTGGAAAAAAATATGAACGATTGGAAAGACCAGGTGATATCTTTACAAAAAGAATTATCCAATTTCAATGAAAGGAACAAATTGCGTAAAAAAAAAAATATACAAAAAATTATTTTTTATTCGTTTATTTATTTGTGAGACATTTGATATATTTTACAATGTTGACTAACTTGCTTTTTTTCTGGATTATCTTTCATGTTTCCTTGAGAAAAAGAATCATTGAAACGCAAACTTGAAGATCTAAGTTTTCACCTAATGAAACTGCAAAGTTATTAAACTGGAGAAAGATTTATAAGAAGGCACTGATTTTGCATTTATAATCATAACCTCTAATACAAAGTTACTATCTATTTTTATTTAAAATCAATACTAATTATAGAAATGTCTCGAGATCTATATTTTGCATCGATGGTAAATATATTAAATCTATGTCATCTAAGCGTATATATAAAGAATCACAGATTTTACTATGATCATGGAAAATTTGTGTCGATACTGGAGAAGATGAATTACCCCAAAGAGCATCCCGAAAAAATTCTTCGATTACGTGATTTTTGGCACGCATTATTCATAATCCCTAAACCCTGGCCTAACCCTAAATCCAAGAATGTGGTGGTTATTGTGTGACAGATATGATTTTCAAGGATACCTATGTGTGACACGGGTGATAAATAATTTTGATCACGTGACTATAACAATCGGAGAAAATAGATTGGTTTGTTCATAAAATGTCTACGTTGTTCGGTTTCGTTGGAAGGTTTTCTCGCCATACATCACACACTTTCCAACCAAGAGTCTTTTTCTCATCTACTTTCACATTACCTAACACGCTTAAGAGTTCGTGAAAAGAAGACAAAGCTATGCTTCCAATCAACATCAATACTTCAGCATCTGATTTCACGAAAGAAGATTTAAAGGCACTGAAAGTGAGGTTCCAACCAGCCCCGTCCGAAGGCCACGCCATTCCTGATAAGGATTTCACAGAATTTCCGCAACAATATGTTTGTCCCAAAATCAGTAAAACGATACTCAATGAACCAGATTTTAATGTTGATAATATTAGCGAAATTCCGAATAATAGCGTCCGATCATTCATTTATACATTGCATGATGTCACGAGAAACTTAGGGATACCCGAAACTAGAACCAACTCAATGGTTGAAGATTTGCTTCGTATTGCTATGATGAATGGCTGGCCCTTATCGATAATGTAATTATGAGAAGGTCTTTTTCTCTTTCTCCAATGATTTCCTAAAATCTTTATTCTGTCAAAACTATGAACCGAAGAGAAACCTAAACATTTTTAGGTAAGCCTATTGTTGTAGCACTGTATGGTTAGCTAAACTGTACTCTATGAAAATGATAACAAGCAATCATATTTTATTTTATTTTTTTTTTTAAGTTTCAGTATTTGGAAAATCCGGGCGTCATATGATTTCAAAGTGATTAGGTCTTAATACCCAATATCAACATATCTGAGACCCATAAGGTCGTGATTGGACTCAAGATCCAACTAGAACCATCCCGATAATACTGGCCTTAGGATTGCCACTAGATTATAGACACCTAGAACCTTAGTTCTGAAATCTCTAGATCCCCAGAATCACTGTCAAATTTGAATAGAGAGATCACTTTCAGCTATAGGGATCATCATTTTTAAGTTGGCAAAATCGAATCAAAGTACTCCCTAAAGATTTTAATAGAGTTATTAAAACAATATATGATTTGA